GACCAGACCACACACTAGAAGGTGAAGGGACGACGATGTTTCGGTCCGTCCTGGACCATTCTCAAGTCGATTGTGATAAAGATCATCTTTCAGATGATCGCAAGATCATCCTTCACCTCAAATCGATTCTCACAATTGACTTGAGAATGGTCCAGGACGGACCGAAACGTCGTTGTCCCTTCACTTTCTAGTGTGTGGTCTGGTCAAGAAAGAATCAGTAATTGAATTAACTTCCCTGTAACTCGCTGTGAAATCTACTTTACCTTTGTGGCGTAGAAACGGTAGAACATGATACTTAAAGAAATTGCAAAAGGTCAGTTGTCCCGTACAAGGCAGCTCCTATTTGTGTCCACGTAAACTCTCTCATATGTCTAACCTACGCTAGAAATATTCCAGTAATCCCCCCATCTATTATGTTACCCGGTAATTTAATCAAAACCCCATCACCTGTCCTCCGCTATTCACGTCCCACTGTCTGTCCCCCCACCACGGACCTAACCCACTACCTGTTCTCACAAGAGCTCGCCACCGCAAGATCATCTTTCACCTACTACTCAAAAGCTCGCCAACCTCATGGTTAAGGTATCAGCTGTACTCATAAAATAATTCAGATAATATATTAATCTCATGATTGTAACCTGTCTAAGAGTGCGTATCCCTGGCTGCATGCGTCGCGTTTGTCTGGCGTTCAGCCAAACAATATGACGTCATACGCAGCCCAGATGGAACATTAAAAACACGAAATTTGGTCTTTTGCTTTGGAGAGCTTTGAAGAGTCGCCATACACAAAACAAATTTGGGTTCTGGGGGGTGGCACCCTGGGGAGGTCAAGGAATGACAATTGTAGTGTTGATCTTCGATTTATTCGATTTCCACATAGATCGTGTCTTGAGAGGACGTTCACTATATTGACCATTCTCAATCGACTTGAGAATGGTCCAGGACGGACCGAAACGTCGTCGTCCCTTCACCTTCTAGTGTGTGGTCTGGTCAATATACTTTAGCCATGTTATTGTGACTCCTCGCCTGCACGTTCACTATATCCCAGAGTCTATACACTATACTCGCTTTTTCTAACAACCCACTTCAAAAATATGTGTAGTGAGGATCTTGCAAAGTGAAGAGCCTCACTATATACTATTTTCCGAGTTAAAGGAAACACGGTATGCTTTAGGACTTTTAATAGTAAAAATCATAATACAAAGTACAATACAATTATGGTAATATAAGACTAAATAACTACAGAAAACTTACAATAAAGTTAAACGTGTAAGTCAAGCTCTAGGCCTAGTTAGGGTGGAGGGAAGGGACCCAATTGGGCTAGGAGGGTTGGCCCTGTTCTTCATACCATGTCTCTCAACTGGTCATGTATGCAGGCGAGGAGTCACAATAACGTGGCTGAAGAATGTTGACCAGACCACACACTAGAAGGTGAAGGGACGACGACGTTTCGGTGCGTCCTGGACCATTCTCAAGTCGATTGTCTTGAGATTGGTCCAGGACGGACCGAAACGTCGTCGTCCCTTCACCTTCTAGTGTGTAGTCTGGTCAACATGGTCATGCATGACATACGAGCTGAGGTAGCTGTCATTTTCCTGGTAGAGAAGATTAATATGCATAGTTACTGTATGAAGTGTTTGTGCCTAATACTATGGCCCATACTTCCCCTGGGGTCCACCCTGATCCCCAAGGGTTCAGGGTGGATTCTTTACTGTATAGTTCAATTACTCAGAATTATCATTTTACACTATATACACCATCACTGATACTGTATTTATAATCCTCACTAACCAACATGTCGGTCACTATAATAAATCTTCACGACAAACCATCTCTCTATATGTATTACCTTCACTACACTCGGTCACTATCATGGCAACGTCCTCGCCACAACGGCCGACCAGCTGGGCTCCCCAAAGCACGCACACGTCGGTGATTAAAAAAAAGAGCCCTAAGGTCCAGCCGGGGAGCGCAGAGGCTCCCGGCACAGAGGTGGTGACCCACCAGGCGCTCTACCCACATGCCAAGTTTGGCGTGGCTGGCTCCTAAACTCTGGTCAGGCACTCGCTACACAGACCCCTCACAGTACTTAACCTTTTTATGCAAGATCCCCTTTTTATCCCTTTCACCAGACGTTATGGAACTAGGAGTGTTCCCCCATAATCAATATACAAAATGTGTACTGCTGCACTCGAAAAAGTCCAAGTTTTGTACTATTGGAGTACTGAAAGATACTACAAAAACCCAACCTGACCAATCGCCTATATAATCGACCCTCTTAATATAGGCAATGATAAGACGTATAACCAATTTTAGGCCTACTGCAGTACATATATGTACTGTATTAGGCCTCGGAGAAGGCAATGCCAATAGTGAAAAACGTGGACATATTTGGGAGGTACAGCTGTCCACATTCTGGTCATGTATTCTAAAATAGATAAATGTTCTATAACGTTTGTTGGACAAGTTGTTTTCGCTGCCGAGGTGCCCATCCCCTTCCCCCACCCCCCTGGCTGCCCTGGTGGGAGTGGTGGGGAGTTGTTAGGGGGTGTTGGTGGAGGAGGTCGTTGTGATAATGGTGGTAGTTCGGTGTGGTGGTGGCGGCTGGTGGAATTGGTGGCTATTGAAGAAGTGGAAGACTGTATTATGGGAGTTGGAGGGGGTCTAGTGGGATGGTAGTATTGTGGGTGATGGTGGTAATAGGGGTGATCATGGAGGTAATATAGTTTATAGTAATGGTGGGGGGAGGGTTATGTTGGTTGTGATGGTGACAGTGGGTGTGGGGTGATGTTACTGCCTGGCAGCCTTGCCCCAGCATGGTTATCACTGGTGAAAGTTGTGACCCCAGGTCCACCTCATGTGTGCCTGTTCTTAGGTATTTTGGGTTTGAGAGGATTTGGTTCCAGTTCTTAGGCTTCTGATTCTGGCTGTCGGCAGTCTGAGAACGCCCGGCGTGCGCATATGTCGTTCACTACCATGCACTGATACTGTGCATAACATAGGGTCTCGGTAGTACAGATTTCGTTCTCGACTCTAAATTTCAACCCATTCTCGACTCGAGTCCATTACATCCAGCGGTCGATCCCACAGACCCATTCATAAATTTTAACATGCTGTTCATTCAAAACAGGAATTTTTTCAAGTATAAATTATAAAATATTAGCATATTGTGCATATTTAAGTTAGGTGTTTAGGTTCTGTTGACGATTATTTATATTTGTAGTACGTGGGTGAAACATTTACAGCGTTGTGGTTTGAACAAAATTCGTCAGTGAAGCAATTGTTCCGGAAGTGTTCGAACGAAATCAGTCGAGTCGTGTATATACAGTTTTCAGCCCGTCCTCCAAACAAAGATCCAAAAGTGATTCCATGCACCTGCCAAACCCCCTGTTTATGAATGAAAAGCGGTTTACACACGACTCACAACTGCTGACGTTCGAACATATCCGGAACAAGTGCTTCACTGACGAATTTTGTTCGAACCACAACGCTGTAAATGCTTCACCCACGTACTACAAATACAAATAATCGCCAACAGAACCTAAACACCTAACCTAACCTATCCTATGCCTATTTATACACAATATGCTAATATATTATAATATTAATTTATACTTGAGAAAATTCCCGTTTTGAATGAACAGCATGTTAAAATTTATGAATGCGTTTGTGGGGTTGACCGCTGAATGTAATGGACTTGAGTCGAGGATGGGTTGACAGTTTTTCATTCATAACGGGTTTGGCGGGAAGCTTTTTGCGAAATCGGTGTGTATTACATCAGCGTTTTCTATGGCATCTAAAGCCATGATCCAGCAATTGTGATAGGCAAGAACGCCCAATTCTGAGCCCATGTCCAGATAATATGGAGATGCTGTGATTCCATGTAGTATTCCATGCGATTCCATCTTACTTCTTAACACTTTCAAAGATTTTTGTGTATGATGTTAGTGCTGTAATTTTTAGCCTCTTGCCTTATTCCTTCCTTTATGGAGTGGTGCTATCTCTGCTGTTTTTAGTAAGTTAGAAATAACACCAGTATCTAAGCTCCTTCTCCAAAGAATGTTAAGGGCCTGTGATAGTTTGTTTTACAATTCTTGATTAATAAGGAGCTCCAAGAATCAGGGCCTGGTGTAGAATGTATAGGCATACTGTCTATCTCTACTTCAAAATCCAGTGGGGTTAGAGTGACATGACATGATTTGATGTTGGTATCTCATAAAGAATTCGTTTGAGTTATCAATCTTCAGTGTGATAGTGGCTCACTGAAAACGGAGTTGTACTGTTCCCTTAGTATTTCGTTCATTTATTTGTTGTCATGTGTAAGTTTCATCTCCTTTGTGCAGGGGCCCAATACTAGATACAGTATAGCTTTTTGGTAGTTTTGTATAGGAGAAAAGTCTGTACGACCATGGTCTATATGGTCAGGCTCTGTATGGGAAAAATTTGTGACCACGGTCCTTGTGGTAAACTTGGTACAGTATTTATAAAAATATACATAAAAGAATGTCCAAGGTTGGATGCCAGACTCTTGGGGCTAGTTTCGCCCAACTTTTCTGAATTACACATTGGTGGTAGGCGACAGTCATAGACAGGTTTCAGTCAATCCCAATGCCCTCTTTAATATGATGGGCTCCTATTGTGACTCCCAATGACTTCATAGAAGTCTTAAATGGAGGTTTAGTTTTAATTTTTCAAGTTCTCGGCTGTTCATCACGCATATAACAGAGCCACAATATTGTTACACTATTGCATCAAAGTAACACCAGTAAAAATAATGTTGAGGTTGTTGTTTGCCGAGTGCATATATTCCATGTTCTGAGAGAGGGAAGAGATAGGTTGAAGGGAAAGAGTGGGTAAAAAGGGAGTGGAATGGGATTTAAGAGGTGGAGGGGAAGATTTGGTGAGGAGTGAGAGGGGGAGAGACCCAGGCACTGTCTGTACCTCATCTAGTACCTAATAAACATGGCAGAAGATATTTGAACAAAATGTTTGTTCACCAGGTGCGGGTGGAGCAACGAAGAACCGTCCTCCTGCCTTTACCATGGGCAGCCGACATGAACCGAAACTAGACAAGGCTGGGCCAGGACCTGGTCAGTACAATGTTACTGGCCTCTCAAACAAAGGTTGGTTAATTACCTGTTACTGTATTTTGTTTAGCACTAATATGCTTGGCTGCACCTTGCATAATTGTCTTAACCAAGTTCAATTGACATCCAAACCAGTTTGGAAATTTAGGTGATGTTAAGCCAGTCTAATTCTCCCCACAGGTTCCACAACTTGAGGCCATCTCCATAACAACATATTAGGGTTGGCTGATAAAGTTTTCACTTGTATATTAGTTGTTGCACAAACTTAAGTACTCCACGCAGAACATATAAATGCATCTGTGAATGCATATCATTGTGCTGTGTTTCTGCAGTAGCCAGCATATTGTTCTTTAATTAATTTTTAAATATTTACAGTTGAAATTACATATACATTTTATTTCACTAAAATATTAAGAATGTCACATCGTACACAAGACGATTTTATAACCAACCCAATCTAACAACTTGGCCCAAATTGATCTTGTCTAGCTGAGCTTAACACAACCTAACCAAAGGAAATATACATCCTAACCTAACTATATACGGTTTTGACAATCTGAAAGAGCCTTGTCGAACCGTCTTGTGTACCATTTGACCATTGTCCCCTTAAGAACTGGGTTAAGCCTCTAGTTATCCTTCTAGGGAAGGACGAGCCAGTGGCAGCCTCCATGCACATCAAGCCTAAGGATCCGAGGATGTACATTACACCAGCCCCTTGTGACTACTCCCCGGACAAGGCTGAGGCCAAGGTCTTGGAAGCCTCCCCAAGCTTCTCCTTTGGTGTCAAGACTGAAGATGGAAGGCCTTCTGATGCTCCAGGTAAAGGCTGCTCACCAGCGTATATATTGTTACATGTATTCATCTTCTTTGTGCAGAGACCCAATACTAGATGTAGTTTTTTGCTACTGTAGTTTTGTATAGGAGAAAAATAGGAGAAAACTCATAACTGGCAGTCTACGTAAGCAACTGTTCTTAATATAAATATTCTTTGATACGCTGTAAATATTTTAAAATTAAATTATTCTTTGACATGCTGTAAATCCAAACCAAGACTTGGTAGGACCCTTAAAAGATAAGACCAACCTAGTTATGATAGATGATAAAAGGGCAGCCAACACACTCTGAATACTTTATATCAGCATTCACACTAAACAACATCCCAATGCTCACACAGATGAGCATCTTCACCACACAGAAGGTGGTGAAGAGCGCAAATTAAGGGTTTTCCCAAAACATGTTGAACAATCGGGAAGAGCATTGACAAACTAACAAGATTTAAAAGTTCCAGATGTCGATGAAATTCAATCCAAAGTTGTAAAGGAACTGGCAGATGAACTGTGTCTACCACTGAAACTCCTTTTCAGAAAATCTCTGAACCAAGGGACAGTTTCTCTATATTGGAAATGTGCAAATATCACCACTGATAAAAAATTAAAAATAATAATAATAATAATAATAAAAAAAAAAAAGCTTGGCAGAAAATTACTGTCCAATCAACTGGACCTTGCATATCTGCAAACTTGTGGAGAGAATCCTAAGGAAAGGAACATTCACAGTCTCGCCATGAACAATCCAGTAAAATCAACGCAATATGGTTTTATTAAAAAAAAAAAAAAGTCCTGCCTCACAAATCTATTCAGGCAAAGGCCTTCCAGTAGATTTAATATACATGGACTTTGCAAAAGCTTTTGATAAGGTACCACATGAAATACTAGCAAGGAAATTAGAAGCACTTTGAGTAAAGGGTAGAATACTGTACTAGAATGGATAAAACAATGATTAAAACAAAGAAAACAAAGGGTTGTCTTAAATGGAAATGAATCTGACTGGAAAAATGTGATTATTGGGATACCACAAGGGTCAACTTTGGGGCCAACCATTTGTCATGTACATCAGTGACACAGATGAGACAAACCACATCATCAAATTTGCAAATGACGCGCAGATCTATGGTAAAGTAGGAAGTGAAAAAGATTGAAGCTTTACAATCTACAATCTGTTTCTTTACTCTAGCTTTCTACACAAGCTCCACAAATGGTCAGAAGACTGGCAAATGCTTTTTAATATTGAAAATCACAAGACCTTGCATGTGAAGCATAAAAAATGCACATCACAACTACCAAATCAACACATTACCTTACAGCAAATTGATCAAGAAAAGGACCTTGTAGTCAGAATCCATCAATCACTATGAGATACACAACAAGTGGCAGCTTTAGTAAAAAAGCCAACTAAACTCTAGGACTAGTCAAACAAACCTTTGACATCAAGGATATGATGGTACAACTGCATAAATTTCTGGTGCATCTACACTTGGCTTATTGTATCCATGCATAGAGGCCTCATCTTCAGAAAGACACATCTGCTTTAGAGAAAGTTCAACACCAGGCAACAAAAATCGTTTTAGAACTAAAAGCAAGTCTACTTTCAAACCAGGAATGGTTGAAGACCACAGGGTTAATGACTTCAGACCAGACATGACAGGGCAGTACCCTGAAGTACTGAACAATTTGGAGAATATTGATCCAGACCACTTCTTTAAAAGGGCAGATATAGCACAAACAAGGAGCAATGGTTTAAAGCTCAATAAACCACAATATAGGATGGAAAACAGGAGAGTTTTTCACCCATAAAGTTATAAACCCATGGAACTGCCTACCTGCCAAAGTTGTAAAACCCAAAACACTGCTGAGCTTAGAGGTCCAGCTGAATAAAATCAGCACAAATGGGGGTGCAGAGACCTTTTGACAAGCTGCTGACTTCTTGCCCTCTTGTAGACACTAGAGATAGTGGCCCTCAGGCACCAGTAGTATAGTTGGGTTCATTCCCAACTAGCAATCAGGAATTCCGGGTTTGAATCTCGGGTTGGACAGAAATGGTTTATCAGTTAGTGCCAGGATAGGTTTATCAGTGTAAGAAAATAAGTTTATCTAAATGAGGCAAGGAAGAAAAAAAACAGTTTAACAACCTGCAAGTACTGTACTGTGTGCAGCCAAGATTTCAAGTATGGATGTAGGAATACTGGAAATGGGTCCAGGATATTTTTATAGAAAAGTCCTCCAGGGTTGCCTTGCTGGTAATGGAAGGCGTCACGCATACATCAATTTTTAATACTTAAAACATTAAGCACTGATTTAGAAGTTTTATAGGAGAATAATTGATTAACCAAAACATTTTTGTAACAGCTCCAAACAGCTATAACATACCATCCCTGCTGGGTTCCACCAAGGAAGGCTCCAAACATTCAGCCCCAAGCTTTACTATGTCTGCACGGCCTCTGCCTGATGAAGACAAGATGAAGGTGCCAGGCCCTGGTTCTTACAATGACTCCACAGTAGATAAGTACAAGACTGTCAAGAGCCCCAGCTTCAGCATGGGCCAGCGAACCACCATCCCTTCTGATCACACAATGAAGCCTGGCCCTGGTGCACATTGCCCCGAGAAGGTACAGTATTGTCTATTAATAAAGATGTTATGGCATTGTATACAGCATGATAGAGATCACTTGAATATGAGCTCATGATAGATTATAATAGTACAGTTACACTTCTACTATGAAAGGTTTGTTCTGCTTAATTTTTGTAATGTATGAAATGCACATGGCAAGCTTGAAATGAGACATAACTTACACATAATGCTTGGCACTATACCCTCTGGCACTCTGCACTGCATGTAACCTTCGTGTTCAGTATCAGCCCTCCGGTCCCAAGTTCACCATGGCTCCCAGACCTGCTGACGAAGTGGACAAAATGAATATCCCAGGGCCAGGCGCTTACAACTCTGGTGATCTTGATAAGTGCAGAGAGAAACAGCCAGCCTTTACTATGTCTCCAAAGACCAACCTGCCCACTGATAACAGTCCAAAGCCTGCACCAAATGCTTACTCTCCAGAAAAGGTGGGTAGTGTGCTAGAGGGTATAAAATGACACAAATGATCTTGGACCATATAAATAGGAGATAAGATCCACACACACACAGTTTTTAGAAAGGAAAGTTAGAATACATACAATGAAAGGGAAAAATTATTCATTAAACGATAAATGTAGCCAAGCAAGAACATCGAAGGTTTTTAATTGTAAAGTAAATTTCAAGGAATGAGTGCATAGCTTTCAAATCCTCATCTCGGTTTATATTATTTGTCATTCTTTAACATATAAAACGTGGAACAACTTGTTTGCTAAAAAACACTTAAGGCATGAACTAGTCATATAGGACAAGGATTACTTCATTGGCTTATTTGACAAAGATGTTGTAAATTTCATAATTCTTAATTACACAAGGTTAACCATATAAAAGGGAAGGGTAAACAAATATCAGTAGCCATATGATGTGGATCATAAAGTAATGTGTGAGGGAGAACACACTGGGGCTCCTCCTCCCATGTTGTCAAGGCAGTTTTTTTTTTTTGTGAGGGGGTTGGGGAGGTGGAAAGAGGGTCTCGCTGGGTTTTTTCCATTTGCAAGACAGGCTCAAATTGTATTAGCTGGTCTTCTATGAAGTATTCCTCACACCATTATTAGTCGTATCTTCCCGAGTTCTTTCATGCTCATCTTGCTGGTCGAGTTATGTTGTCAGTATAAAATACTGTTATCACCTGGCTAGGACTCTTCCTCTTAGAATATTTTGGAACCTCATATCTTCAGCCTGTTCTTCTTGGTAGGCTGATTGGTAGGCCAAATTTATTTCTTATCTTTGCATTCCTTACTCCTGGCACTCTAACCTTAGTGTGCCATATTTGAACCTTGACAGCCACTTCCCACCAAGCTTCCTAATTTAGCATTCCTCAGCCATTAGTTCTGTTTTGAATATTTATTTTAGGTATTTTACCATTTGTTTCAATTCACATTTTAACTTATACCAGTACAGTACAGTACTACATATTCACTCAATTTAACAACTTATTTGGGAGGGGGGGATATATACCTACTTGTTAAATCTGGGGCTCCACTAAACCCGGCATGTTAAAATGCCTGTAAATATTTAAATAATATTTAGGAGGGCAACAGAGGTCAATGACTCGGTAAATAAGGTTCCAGTTACTCGTGTCAAATTCAGCCTTTAAACCTTCAGAATGATAAATTAGAGGTTCTTAAATAGTGGATACTATGTCTTTATTACTTGTAATTAATCTACAGTATTTGCATTTGTGACTCACAGGAATAGTGCTGTATTTTACTGGAGCAGTATTTACTACTAAAGGAAGGAGAATAAAACAAAATACATTATATGTAATGTGGGCATGTTGTGGTAATAGTGCCAAATTCACCACAAGGGCCAATGAGGTGGACACCCTATTGAAGCTGGCAAAACATACAGCTATGTGCATGTTTATTGCAGCCTTCAGGGGTTCTAGCCAACTTTGATACACCACAGCAAGGGTGTGTGCATATAAATCTTTACTAGAAGTATTAATCATAGTGTTTAATGCTGCAGCTTTCAAGCCTGTATGTTTTAGGTCAGTGAGACTTTCACCAGACATTTGTTCCAATATTATTGTAAGGTGCCTAGCAGAGGACCTATGAAACTGGCAACCTACTCAAGAATAAGTTCAGTTTCTGAGCCTTTACTACCGTGCCCAAAACCAACTTACTGACATAAATAAAAAAGGCAGCACTCTGTGCTTATTCACTAGTTAGGGTGCCATTGGAGGTTGTAGAGGTTTTAAAGTGATGATCCACATAAGGAATCAATATGGACCAGACAGTACACACAGGGGCCTTGTGTCTGAGTGGACAGCACTTGGGGGGGGTCAGTCTCAAGGGCCTGGGTTTGATTCCCGGCCAAGGTGGAAACAAGTGGGCAGTTTCCTTCACCCAGATGAAAGTTTACCTAGCAGTAAATAGATACCTGGAAGTTACAGCTGCTATGAGCTGCTTCCTGAGGATATGTACATGTGTTAGAAGTATATGTAGTAGATATAATAGAGGAAAAAGAATGGTTAAAAAGGTGGGGTCCTGGAGCTAATAGCTTGATTCTGCAGATACAAATAGTAAATCCAAATATTAGATGCACTCACTCACACACACGCACACACACATGCATATAAAAAATTATTTTACATGCTCCTACTTTAAAAAAGTTTGTAATATACAGTACTTCATATTGTACTTATAATATACACATCATTTCTCATTTGAGATATTACTCTAGTTCATAATGCTTGGCTTTATATATACCCTCCCACACTCTGGACTGCATGCATATAACCTTCGTGTTCAGTATCAGCCCTCCGGTCCCAAGTTCACCATGGCTCCCAGACCTGCTGACGAAGTGGACAAAATGAATATCCCAGGGCCAGGCGCTTACAACTCTGGTGATCTTGATAAGTGCAGAGAGAAACAGCCAGCCTTTACTATGTCTCCAAAGACCAACCTGCCCACTGATAACAGTCCAAAGCCTGCACCAAATGCTTACTCTCCAGAAAAGGTGGGTAGTGTGCTATACTCTGCTGGAGGGTATTAGGTGACTGAAGATAAGGGATTGTTGGCCTTATTGAGGAAAAAATTGTCACACAAACATAAGCCAGAAGAATATACAATCAGGAACCACACAGTATTTACTGAAGTATGACATGAGACCAAAAGGAAACAGTGGTCAGTGCAGTTGGGTCACAGGCAAATGGTCCCAGGTTCAATTCCTGTGTCAGGACAGCAGCAATTTGGAAATATATCCCTTCACCTGATTTCTCTGTACACCTAGCAGTAAATAGATACCTGGAAGTTAGGCAACTAATGTGGGTTGCATTCTGGAGGAAGCTCATTAATTGGCCTAGGGACCTCTTGTTAAGACTAATCAGGCTTCTTCCCTCCTACTAGAGAAAATTGAACCCTCCCCCCAAAAAAAAAATCGTGTGTGTGTGTAGATTTAAAATTATATAATGGAATTGATAGTCATAAACTTGAGAGTGGACACAGGTGACAATACAAAAGTTTTAGAAGCTTTAAAATGAGTCTGACACCACACAGACTATATATATATACCCCACATACCAAGGGGTATGTCTTAACTATGCAGTAGGGTCCTGGAAAGGAATGAGACCACATGCAAGTGAACTAACAACTGCACAGCAGGTATACATACAAGAGTGACCTGAGCACAGAAAGAAATATTAATCACATTGCCATGCCATGAAGGATCAGAAAATGATACAGTACATATCAATAAGCAGCACATGAGATCACACAACATGAGAGAGAAGCACTACCATAAGTGCCACAACAGCAGTGAATAAGAAGCAACACCACAGCAAGGCATAAGAACAATACCACATTAACCACACAACAGCACACATTTAGGGACGGCACAGAATTGAGGACACTGGATCCAAGAGTCAATGCTCGATCCTGCAGGCACAAATAGGTGTGTACAATAAGAGGGATGAGGAATAACACATCTTGTATGCATAATAGTGGGTGGACAGGGAAGCTCAGGCAAGAGATGGCTGGTGTATTGCATAGTAAATAATAATTAAACAGTAGGAATGGTAAGAATAACTAATGAAATTATTAGTTTATTTGGCTTAATTTGCATTTATATATGTATGTGTTCACCTAACAGTAAACAGCTACCCAGGATTTTGGCAACTGGGTTGGAAGTTTTGGAAGCTTGGAAGGTCAGTAGTGTGACCTTGGGGGTGGGGGCTCCATACAAGCCTATTAAGTGTGAATGTATACATACGCAGGCTTCCTGTCCCAGGCAAAATTAATTGTTCTTGCAATGATGAGTTATCACATGACATGATGAGCTAGTGTAAGTGAAGATGAATTGTATGACAAATTATTATATGGCATTACATAATTGTTAATGATCACATAACATGATGAGGCATCGCATGTCATGAGCTGTCAAAGAACATAATGTTCCACACGACATAATGAGATCGTATGACTTGCTGCGTTATTTAATGACATGATGAGTTGCATGTGTAAATACATAAATGTGAAGACAAATGTACTGTAAGACAGCATCACTTTGATTCTAGTATTCATCTCAGGATTTATTTACCAATATTATCATATTTCTGCAAAATATTAGTACCTGTATAGTAGTTTCTGCAGGTGAGAGTGAATCACCATGGACATAGCTGTCCATTATTACTTCCATGTATTATTTTCTATGTATACCTTAGAAAGTAATACTACATGTATTACTTTCACGTAGTTTTTTTCAATGCATTGCTTGCTTTTTAGATTCCTCATATTACATCACTTATGCTTAAATACTAAGTATTAGTAAGTTTAGTTCACTATTAACTTAACCCTATTAAACTCACTAAACTTGAGAGGATAAAGGCACATGCAAGTCCTTATTTATTTTTAACTATTTTATTTTAATAGCTTGCACATGTTTCCTTATATAAGTGAAAATAGTACTGATCTAATTTACTCACATGTCAGAGCTACTCCTAAATGAACATGATAGGTATGTAGGCAGTGTTGAGCATTATTCCCTATGGTTCAGTACGTGCCATCGGGACCCAAGTTCACCATGGCGCCCCGTGCTGTTGAAGAGATGGACAAGATGCAAGTGCCCGGCCCAGGCACCTACGAAGCTGGCAACCTGGACAAGAGTAGGGTCAGTTTACCAGCATTCACTATGGCACCCAAAACCAACTTACCGACAGACCGTACTCAAAAACCAGCACCCAATGCGTATTCACCAGAAAAGTCCGAGTCGGTAGGTGGCGTTAGAGAGAGCAAGGGACTTGAGGGTTATGAGACAGATAAGCAGGCACTGTAGATAATGAAGAAATGCCCAACTTTCAGAACTTATCTAATGTTATAGTGTATAGAGGAAAGTGTTAATGCTTTCCATTTTACATTATAGTGTGTGTACTATACAATACTGTATTATTTATTTAAAGTAGAACTTGTACAGTAGTTCACTTGTAGTTGCTGAGTAGATTCAGGTAAATTAGATGCCATTCAAGTTTTAGCATGGGTATGTTTGACTTTATATTTTAATCACATTGCAAATGGTAGGCCTACTATATAAGCAGTACCATGTATATTCAGTGTGTGTGTATATAATATATAATTATTATTATTATACACACATGTATGTCTTATTAAATATGACCTCATTGCTGGCATTGTTGATCTCCACATAGTACAGTATAAGCTTTCTATGCTTCTATTTTCTTACTCTCGGGATTAAGATGAGCAAACAAGTTACCGAAATCCATGGAAAAGAAACTAATGATTATTGAAGGGTACATTTTCTATGCCATTTCATTCCACTCTGGAACATCTTCAGGTAAGGATTAAATATACAAGGTCAACATTTTTCTTGATACACATGTAAAAAGAGATGGAATTGTATGGGGGTAATGTGAAGTAATCACACACAGGTAAAGAAATAGGGACATAATGGGGATGAATCCCCATAATGGGGATGAATTTGATAATGGGTGATCAAAAACTGCATAAGGCGGTGAGCAGAGAGAACTCGGTAGAGACATTATCTGGTGCTGTATGGCAAGGACTGGATTTGAGCATAGGCAAGGTATCAAAGTCGTTACTCTGTATATATAGGGTGGGTCTCTCCTTTTATGAGTATAGCTTCCAGTACTATATTTGCAGTCTTCTCTGGTCAGTGGTGACCAGAGAAGACTCTGGGCTGGTAAGGGCTCTGTTGACACACAGAGCCCTTACTCATTGTTCTGACTGGCATAACATCCACAAGGAAATGGACAGAAGCCTTCAAGTGTTAATAAACAACGAATACACAAATAGAGAATCCAACACCCATATCAGAAGATATTTAGAAAAATGGTACAGTATAACAGAACAGAAACAACCCTTTCCATAAAAGTATTACAAATTTACTATGAGCTCACAATACAAAATTGAAAAATAATTAAAAATATAATTTCAAATTGAGTAAAACCGACAGCCCAGACCAAAGACTGGAATTCATTATTTACTGCAAAACAAAAAAAAAGACTGCTGATTTAATAATTAAGAACAGGCCCAATAAACAATACAACCCTCCAAAAAGCAAACATGGTATACCAGTTCACATGCTCCAATGAAGAATGTCACCTTCGATTTACTTACATTGGTATGACCACCACAAAGCTTTTGAGAAGACTGACCTGCCATCTACAAAGCTGGTGCCCCTGGAAACCATATACAAAATGTACATAACATGCACTAGGAACATACTACTGTACTGGAGTTGAAAATACAATAATCTTGGCATCCACTGCTGACCAGAGGAGACTGCAAATATATTACTGGAAGCTATATTCATTAAAAAAGAGACCACCCTAAATATACAGAGTAACGACTTTGATTCCTTGCCTACGCTCAAATCCAGTCCTTACCATACAGCACCAGATAACATCTCTACCGAGTTCTCCCCGCCCATTGCCATTGGATGCCAATGTTTGATTGGCATCCATCCCCATTATTTCTGTTTCTTCACCTGTGTGATTATTCTCTTTTTCCACATGCATATTGATATATATTTACACCTTGTATATTTATTCCTTACATGAAGATGTTCTAGAGTGGAACAAAGCATTGTAGAAAATATACTCTTCAATAATCATTAGTTTCTTTTCTATGAATTTTGGTAACTTGATTGCTCTTCTTAACCCCAAGAGTAAGAAAATAATTAAAAGCATAGAAAGCTTATAAGATCAACAATACTAACAATGTAGTCATATTTACCCAAATAGGCTTAAAAAAGCCTGCTGTCCAAGTATACAAATATGTATACTTATACATACAGTATACATGGCATGCTGCATATAAACTACATAAATAATGGTCTAAATAATAATGAGCGTCTGAAGAAATGTGACTAACTGACTTGACAGACAATTCATCACAAATTCAAAACATGTTAAGGAAGTAACACGCTGATGCAAGTTCCATTGAGCTAAAACGATGCTTACAGAATAAGTGATAAACTATATGCTTTAACTTAACTAAAATATTAAGACAAGTTTCTCGAGTTATATCTGTATCTATCTCAAAATCTCATCCAGTAACAAATCTCAACATTCATTAGAATTAACAATTAATTACTTATAAACGTTTCCAACCTTCAGTCATTTTTAATACATATTAAATATGGAACAAATGGATTAATAAAAGTATAGATGAACTCCTGTGTTATCAGTGAATCTGATCACATTGAACTAAATTCAAAATATATTTTCATGTCCTCAGTCGGAGACCAAGACTACCCCACAGTTCAGCTTTGGAATCAAGCACTCACAGTATTTGGGAAAACTACGTGACCAGTAACCTCCATACAGCTGTCTACCAATGACCTGGCATAGCTGTCTCCACCTGCCTCATGTCTCCCAGGGGAATTTACACAGCTGTGTCTACCTGCCTCTTATCTCCTAGTGATCTTGATAGCTGTCTCTGCCTGTCTCCCAGCAATCCTGACAGCTGTCTACCTGCATCCAGTCTCTACAGTGATCTTAAAACAGCTCTCTCCACCTGCCTCCTGTTTCCCTGTGGTATTTACCCAGCTGTCTACCTGTCTCCCAGTGGTCCTGACACATCCGTCTCCTGCCTCCCAGAATCTCTGACACGGCTGTCTTTATGCATAGTCTGTCTACCACCACTGAACGGTTCCTCCTGTTAAAGAATATAGTGATCCCAATTGAAAACCAATTGGTTAGAGGACTTGATAATTGTTATATTGTTACTTTGATTAGGTTCCTTTTTAGAGTTAATTATAAAAAGAAACTGGTCAAACATAAAATTTGTATGTGTCCAATCTAGCAGATTATCTTAACTAATACGTGAAAACCACAGTGTATTCTAACTAGGAACAAGCATCTTTTCAGAATAGAGAATTTGAGAGACAAATTTAATGCAAGTAATGGCAACTTTAATGGATATTCCACCACAGTGTTCTAAAATTAAGACAGAAAAAGGGGCTAACCATAATTTATGAAACTTTAAATATACTTTCATATCATTATTTTAGTACTAGCCACTCAAATATGACCTCACTACTCTTCTTGTGTACATTTTCTTTATTGAATTGGGATCACTATAATTGAGCATTGTTTGAAAATTTTAAACAATATAAAAATTATTTTTTGTTTTATTATTGCATACAGCATGGAATATTATCATTTGCCACAAATATGTGAATATTTTAAGTGCACTTTTATTGGTCTTGATCTTGTAAGTTCTTTTTTTTATTCCTGGTGATGAGAGTCAATAGATCACGAGAATCGGCACTTGGCAGACAAGCTCCAGTGCTTGACTCGCGTAATTCAGATGAGAATCTATGACAGCAAACTAATCATATACTTAAAAATTATCAGTATGTCTCGCATCGGGATTTTGTTTAAATCTTTTTAAAGAAAACAAAACTTTCTATGGCAAGAAAATTGAAATCATTTATACAGTAATTATCATTAGAAAAAGTTCGAGTATTAATACTCGATTACATTTAATGTTTCTAAACCTTCCTAGAAGCATTGATTGTGTTCCTAAACACAAGTTTCTTCGGGCTACAACTTGGCTTCATACTTATGAACTTGTCTCTAAAAGTTAATTATTGAGTCAGTACCTCACAGGTTAAGTTTGAACTACTTTCCAGGATACGAATATAAAAAAATTTCATATCTTTGACAGTGTGATGTCATAATATAGGAATGTCTTGCATTATCAACACCGAGTTTATTACTGAACTAAGTTTTTCTACTTAATTGCAACATTTTGGCTGGTATCCAAAGTACAGCAGTGCACTGTCGACAGTTTTATGTATCTCTTAGATCAAGGCTTCTCTACATTTGGACCTAGAATTTTATTCATTGACGACCGATTTTATTAAATTATGGTGCACCAGCTTCTTACCAACACACATAGGAATAATGAGATTTTTTTTTTATTAAGCAGATGCTTATAAATATTAAATTTTTTAATATACTTTTTGTAAAACTGTAGAAACATTTTACATTTGAAGAATTAATATAAATTATTCTACAAGAATTGTTTTTCAATTGCAGTACAGTACTGTAATTACTTTAGTTGTAACATGTCGGTCATCTATTATGCATGGATTAATATGTACATTATGATTATACGTGCATTCTCTTGTCTTGTAGTGCACATCATGCAAACTATCAACTTTATATTTATTATTACAACTTGAGTTGGACACTATTCTAAAGAAAATAGTCCACCATATATATATAGTTTTATTGTATGTATATATTATATTCAGCTTTAAAAATGTGCCAGAATAATGATAAATAATCTTGTTATAACCATGCAAAATTATTTGTACTACAGATTGTATCTGCAAAACTATATTAAATAGTATACAGAATACTTATTAAATCTACCTATGCAATTTTGATAATTTTGAGTGATAATCATGTTTTATTATGGATGCCCTCTTGTGTTGGAATCATTTATTGCATAAAATGCTCAAATAGGTGCTAGAGTTCCAACCAAGAGCACAATTCTTTATAGAAATTGTTAAGTTACCTGTGTACTGAGCAAACAAAGGGGTCTAAGTAAATGGAGATGTGTTTGCCATGCTTATTGTGATAGATAACATTAATGTGACTTCATATACCATTGGTATAGTCATCCCACCACATGATAAAGCACTTTTGTATCGGCTCGTCGCATTCTCCGTTCCATGACCTTTAAGCTTTGTCCGGTGCCCCATCTACCTACTCTAATTTTCCTCCCTCCCAGTAATCACTTTTATCCATAATTATTATTAGTAGTATACCGGGTATATAAACAAAACTTAACATTTTCTCAGTTATATTGTAAAAACAAAAATGAAAAAAAATGCTTGTAATGCAATCAAAATAAATGGGGACAAAAGTTAAGAGCTTCTCTAAGGTGAATTTAGTGTGACTAACTTTCATGATGACTTGTTTTCTTTATATGCATATAGCTACATGGGCACCACAAAACAATCATTATGCCCAACTGATATTCACATACAGTATAGGCTTGTTTCTCAACCTATTCTTAGTGTTAGCATTTTTATTTTTCAAGCTCATAATTCCAGTTACATTATAATATTGCAAGTTAGATTCAGTTACTTGTGTGGTTTATTGTCTATTGAAAGTGTCAACCATGTTGCTTCATTCACCTCACTGCACGTGGCACAAGCCCATCAGTAAAGCTATTTTCATCTACAGTGTTTTTTATTTCCCCTTTAATCTGAGCTCAAGTAATAAGTTACTAGATACTAGACTGGACCACATTGAAATGAAAAAGACAATGTGAAGAAATTATCTGGGAGTTGATTAATAAGCATCTTAAAACAAAAAATGCATAAATGTATAATAGATGGCATATAAAATACTTGTATTTACTTCTAAAAGCACTCTGCACGATATCAAAGATTGTCAAGGACAATCCTGTACTTTGGGTTGTATTGAGGTCCATTCACTAGATCGGACTACTTGCATTTCCCAGGATACAATAGCTGCCTAACTTCCAGCTACCTATTTACTGCTAGGCGATCAAAAGTATCAGGCGAAATGAAACATGCCCAACCATATTTGTCATGCCCAGGGATTAAACCCAGGATCCCGGATTATGCCTGCTGTGCACTATCACAGACAGCAGAAGCTACCCATACCCATCCAAGGATGATACACAAGAGCTCCCATCGCCACATTAAGGCAGCATCCTTGATGTGGTGTCCCCTGGTAAGTGAGACTCATGTTGCCTCCCACCTATTTTATTCAATTGTTCCTGTAGATAATATTGGACAAATCTTAAAAATCTTTAAAGATAAGACATTATTAAATGGATAACCACATACCTGTCTGATTCTGAAGATCGTCTCTGCAGTCCAGTCTCTGACCAGTCCTCCTGGTTGGGGGTCTGGTCGACCAGGCTGTTTGATGCAGCTGCTCACAGCTTGATGTATGAGTCACAGCCTGGATGATCAAGTATTCTTTGAAGGTGTTTGAACAGAGAGAGGTCAATCAGTTATGCCCCTTATGTGTAGAGGGAGAGTCTTGAAAGGTCTTGGGCCTATGATGAATGTGATGTTGGCAACAGTTTTATGATGGAGGCATATTAGACACTTTTAATGGAGAATATTATATTTTTCATATGAAACATGTTTGCACATGTGATGAAGACAAAAACCAAGTTCATGAATTTTACAACAGAGAAATATAACTTAAGTTCTGACATCAGGAAGGCAAGGACGTTAATCTTAACAGCATAAAGTGCAGACAATGTTGCAATACAATCAATCCTGATGTGCAACATTTATTCCACTTATCTTTAAATTTCACTGATATATAAAAAATATACAGTATAACATTATACAAAATACCTTGACAATATTATAAGTGATAATTTCCGATTTAACGAGCTATTTTATCTCGGAAGGCATTCGGGTCGATACATACTGTATTATGCAAGTTCCACATTCAACTATCAATAATTTCTCTTGGATGATTATAGTACTGTATTCTGAAACTGCAAACTTTTTTCAAATTATGCATCATAATAATTGAGAGAATTAAACTGGAAATATCATCAATTACAGATTTGGACTTCACATTTACAATGGCTATTGTTAATGAATGCTCGGGTATTAAGCTCGAATCGATGCCAACACACCATAGTTAAATTAAACCTTGTTATTAAGAGGTCGTGAACAAGTATTTTATATTAAAACATGTGTTAATAATGTATTTATGTTTAGTAATAATTAACATTTAGTGTTATGGGAGTATTATCAAAATAATGTTTGCACGGAACATACTGATACCTTACACACAGAAATCACAATGGCGTGATGCATCAAATGAACAAATCCACAAGGGCCGTGACGAGGATTTGAGCCTACTTCCGAGAGCATCCCAGATGCTGCCTTAATCGACTGAGCTACGACATGGAAAAGAATTGCAACCGGGAAATCATTTTGATTTACCAACGGATCCTGCAGTCTCTCCGAGACACAAACCAGGGTTTTACACAACTCCCCCATGCACTCGAGCTATGTCAGGCTGTTCTACCTCTTCACCCTTACTTCATTATTCACAGAAATCACAATAGTGTGATGCATCAAATAAACAAATTCACAAGCCGTGATGAGGATTCGAACCTCGTTACGGCCCTTGTGACGAGGATTCCAAGTCGTAGCTCAATCAATTAAGGCAGCGTCTGGGATGCTCTCGGATGTAGGTTCAAATCCTCGTCATGGTCCTTGTGGATTTGTTCATACCGAGAGCTTTTATATCAGTTATGTGCTTGTCATTTAACTCTTGCTAAGTAAGAAGTAGAAATATATTAAGTAAAAAATTATATCTTTTCGATATGAAATTTTTGTTTCTTCAGCGAGTCTTGATCATGATGCTGGCTACTACCCACTCCAATAACTTATGGATAAAAAACACCCAATAAAAAGACCTAATTGTCTAAATCACCAACATACAAATTACAGTATACACTTTAAGACATCAGTATATACTTTCTTAAGAAATAATGGATTCAATTTAAATTTGCTTAAAATACTGGATTCAGTTTTATATTTAAGAAAATTATAATTTGCTTTTCTTGTCAAATCTGAAACAACAAAATTGGTCATCACATAAGAGTGAAATGCAGGCAAGCATTGCCTGCTTGCCTGCATTATATAAAAAACGTCATTTACAAACTTCAATTACCCAATAATACCATACATATACAGTAATAAATTAATGACTGCTTGAAAATTTCACTCTAAATTAAAATATCCTAAATTACCTTATCGCAAAAAAAAATTCTTTAAACTATACTGTATGTAGGTTCTTAAGAGTAATGTCTTTAAACTTACACGATGCAATACCTGTACACCATGACTAAAATGTTATAATTCATTTATTATACCTTATATGAACACCTATAATGGTATCCAATAATATACTGCAGCTACGGAATAACTGTAACACTATACACAGCACCATGTATAATGACATACATAATATATGTAAAACCTAATGAGTGAACATGATGCCTTCTTAGCACGCAGATTCTGGTCCTCGGTGTTTTCATTTACCAACATAAATCTGTAAAAAAATATTTAAAAAAAAAGATAATGATCTAGACACATAAAAGACTTGTACTGTAAAGAAAATATACCTGAAATTTAATTTTCATGTTACAATTCTAAAGATGTGTAACAGTTAAATTAGGTAGCAAAATATATCAAATTACAGTAATTTATAACATTAAACATTTCCTTGACAACACATGAGAGACATGCAATGCATTTTGTTGAAAGTAAATTATGAACAGTACAAAATGCTTAGGACAATTTCTCTTTATGTCCATATAAAAATACAGTAGTTTGACTATGCAAGTGTTACAAAAAGTCAAAGTGGTTAGGCTCATGTTGAAATGCACTTCAAAACCGAGTGATAAATATAAACATTATATTCACTATTGGTAATGATACAAAAGAGAAGACACCTGCCGCCGCCGCCTCCTGCTGCTGCTGCTGCGTAGTGTTAAATGTCTTATTGCAAGTGGCCATTTGCTAGTCTTGTTGTAACTAATGTTAATACATGTGATACATAGGTAAATACATGTGAGACGTAAGTAATATAATTTGCAGCAATAAAATAATAGTATAACTACAATGTGAAGATTCCATTCAATCTTAATAAAGATGACATTTTCATCATACAATGGCCCTCTTATCATAAAAATAGGTTTGAACCTAACATAGTACAGTATTGAGGTTCTAAGAGTATACTCTAGGTCATTAGACCTTACACAATATAATGCGTGCACACATGACAATATAACAACTTTAAACCATGACTATGAAAGCTATGTTGAAATTGTTATACTGTACCCAAATTCTCACACAAATTGAGGCATGAATGGACATTATTACATTACCAATGATTTACATAAAGAATATTTGATATTTGTTAAAATATATATATATACATATTTCAAAACCAACATGACCTAAAATTTGTTAATACATTTTGATATCATTTACATTAAAATAACATCAAATGATTTCATATTTGAAGTACTGTATTACAACATTCATGTAGGCAGGATGAAGCATGTGGCACTATAAAATGGTTAATATATTAAAATATCTCTAGTGCCACACTGTGGCTATGGAAGCACGTGGTACTGGGCATACACTTTGAGTTCAAATACCCAAGTATCAGATATGGCATGCATACATATATACATTACTTGTGCGTTAAGTTTTGTTTTCATATCACGGCAGAATTATGTGATACTATTCAAACATGCAACTAAAACATAAGATAAAATATTGCTAAGTGGTGCTGCTTGATCACAAAGATAATAAAATAAGATTAATGGAAGCCGAGTGCAAGTACATAAAATTGAGTATAATAAAGTACCGAATATACTTGTAAATATCTCAGGTACATATTAAACAAATCTATCGAGCATCAATAAAGAAAATTTGTTATATCCAAGATGCCAAGTGACAGCTTAAGCAGGAAGAGAACCACTTATGATTAACTGGAAGGTTGTATGTATGGTCGGATCATGCTTCTTACCATTGGATTGGAATATACAGGTAATCGAATATGACCAAGATTAATTTTTCTTTACAATAACAAGATTAATATTTTGTTTTAAGGTGAAACATACATCAAACTTTAAATACAGTACTGTACTAGAAAAAACTGTTTCAAAGCTAATGAAGAAGTGTAAATGTATCATGAAAATACATGTACTGTGCAGTGTTTTCTAAGCTTCTACATGGATATTTTCCTCAAACTTTTAAGTACCACAGGCCATCTCTAACTTGCAAGGAATGGTGACAAATTACAATCATGATATCCCAGGTACTATAGTGTTAAAACATGATAACTTGCAAACCGAGATAACAGTCACAATAGAGTCATGTGACACACACTTGGCTCTGGGGCTCTTCCTACACACTGGAACTCATAAATATAAATTACAGTAATAACAAAGGAACCGGACTGAGCTGCCAGGGCTGATATCTGTACTCACCTAGCTGTGCTTGCAGGAGTTGAGCTTCGGCTCTTTGGTCCCGCCCCCTCTTTTACGGGGAGGGTGAGGAGCTAACTAGTGGTTGGACTTTGACAAGTGAGTACATAATTCGAATCAGGGTTGCAAATGTTGCCAAGCAAGTATTTGTTTTGGTGCACTCTACCTTTTTGGTGTGTTTTCCCTTCAGTAATGTGAATAATGTAATACTAAATTCTCACTTCCCAATGTTTCCATTGAGGGGGCCAGACTGTCTAAGACCTGTCCATCACCTACCTAGTGATACTCTGGCAACTGATGCAGCCCTTCCAGACAAACAAGTTTCTATGCATTCTATCAGCAAAAACATAATTAGCAAGTGGTGGAAACCAATATGCAAAGGATTTATTGTGTAGCATTATTAATTGTTTAATTTCCCTTAACAAATTCAATAAACTTCCAAACTGTACTACTGTAGTTAAATCGCTACTAATTTCTACATCTCTCTAAATGTACACTGCCCCAGTGAACTGTGGGATTACAAACACACAAGAAAAGTTAATATTAAGCCCAAAGCTTAATATAACAAAGTTTTGCACATGAAGCATGCTAAAGCAGCATCCAACAGTTGGTTGAAGGAGCCATCTCAGCTTTGGTAGTTAAACTTATACACTGTCACAAATTCTTGAGTCCCGTACAACAAGAAAACCTATTTTTGTTGGTACAATTTTAGTTGTATTTAAAAGGAATTGCCCAACTCTTAAGTGTTTTATTTGTATTTTTTAAACAAGGACAGCATTTAAAATATTGGAAATAGTGGAGATTTCCATAAAAATCTTTTGTACTTTATTATTCTTTTTTATTTTGCTATGAAAACTTGAAACAATCAGATCAATGAAATATGACTCATAGGAAAGAATGTACAAAGTTATTTATATCAGATAGAATAATAGAATTAGGGAAAATTATATCAGAAGTAATACTGTTGATGACTTTTGGTTGCATTTTTGGTAAAACATTCAAATTTCAAAACAAATTATTGACAAATATTTTTTCATTTTTTTATCTGACTTTGATGACATTTTCACACATAAGAGATACCACAATTTTTTTTTTTTAATTTAAACATTCATGCAAATCTTGATACAGTACCTTGATAATTTCCATTATTGTACAAACGGTTAAGTGAGTGTACTTTTCTGTTCCCTTATGCCCTATATATTGTGGCATTTATGCTTAGGCCATTAGAAATATGGTTTCCTCTGCCTTATATTTTGAGGCACTGGTAGGTTTATGTAAAATCATGTTTCCTTATGCCCTGTATACTATAGCATTTACATTTAGGTCATCAGAAATATGCTTTCCTCTGCTTTTATATTTTGTGGCAACAATACAGTTATTGTAAAATTCAATATTTTAGTACTGTATACCATAAAAAGAAATGTGTTTTTAAATGCATCTTTAACATTATATAAACCCTGTAGTTTTCTATGATTTGTTTTATTGTTTCTAGTATGCTTCCTTGTGTCCATCACTGCCTTATCTACCCATCTGGCATTTCTGTCGGATTCTTGGTGGGATTACCAAATGGGACTATTTGCTCTAACCACCTCCCTACTTGCCCCCTCTTTCCCTCTCCACTTCTTCTCTTCGGGTTTCCATGCTGGCTCTCTATATATCTCCTCTCTCTTCCTCGATTCACTAACAATAAATATGGGTACTCACCAAGTGTCCAGATGTTTCTCCACATATGATCCTGGAATAATGTCTAGGTGAGTATGGTGGTGTTAACTGAGGGTGGAGGTGGATGTTGAGGGCTACATGATCAATCTTCATGGTTACATGGAGGACGAACACAAAAGGCTTTAGTTTGAGCTCTCTTGGAAGCCCTCTCAATCATCCTCTTTGAGTGTTAATTGCCCCAAGCATCCAGATGTTTAGCATTTTTGAAAATGCTGCAAAATCTGTAAAATGACATCAGATCTTCTGTAGTCGAACTTTAAAAAGATTTCAAAGCTCTTCTCTACCTTTGCCATGCATGCTTGACTTGTTCCGTCTTCCTCTTCCTCTGACAAATTTTCTGAATCCTACAAATGCATATGTACCAAACCTATTGCCCTTAACTTGCTCATTTTCATGTGGATGTGTTGTTCATGTGGATCAAGAAAGAGCTCCACTTTGCTGTTCCCTGGCAAGCCAATACCAAGTACTGTTAAAATGATCTCATCTTGGGTATGATATGATTTAAAAAGCATTTATGAAAAATGGGTCTAGACATCCATGTGATGAGCTGAGCCTTAAAATGACAATGATAGTATTAATGACACACTTAAAGGCCCTTGGATTTTTACTTTTGTCAATAATGAGTCATTTTAATTCGTGCATGCCAGTTGCATTTGCACAACAGAGTACAGAGAGCCTTCTGTTACTTGCCTTGAACCCAGCTGAACCATCACCTTCATCTAGAAGAGAGTATGTATAATCATCCAACATACACGGTGCAAGTTTATTTCATCTGCATTATGAAGTTGTTCAGGAGATAAGAAAGTCATCCTGCACTATCTCCTCAAATTTTGACACAAATTCCTCTGCACCTTTTAAATCAGCAGATTACTTTTCAACTCGTAATTTCACAGATATGAACCTTAAAGCCCCTTAGCTATCACTGTACACTCGCTTATCATGAAACTTCACTTGCTGGTGAAAATGCTTGGCCTTTTCCCTTAATGAGCCATCTTGGCACTGGCTTCTTTGATTTGCCACATGTCTGCCTGTACCACTCCGAGACAGCCTCATCAACGCTTTTAACACGAGCAATTACTAAAAAAAAAATTCTGTTGCACGTTACTACATCACTTGCACCTTTAACAGAATGTGAAAAAATTTGGTCTACAGCCTTCAAAATAACATTGAGCGTGGTTTTGCTAACTTTGATTTTGATACACATGACACTCCTAGGAATTCCAGATTCAACTTTATTTATTTATAAGCTGAGCGTTTTGTTAAAAATTCATCACGTTTTCCCTTGGCTTCACCGCTTGAAGCCCTGAACAACAGATTTCCAGCATTTCCTGATGCCATAGACACTGGATGCATATTGAGGGTCCCATTAGTACAGTCGGGTTTGTTCTCAACTCACAATTAAGAATTCCAGGATCGAATCCCAGGGAGGACAGAAATGGCTGGGTATGTTTCCTTTCACCTAATACATCTGTTCATCCAGCAGTTAGTAGGCACCCAGAAGTTAGTCAGCTTGTTTTGGGGTTTCATCCAAGAGAGGGACGGGGGGTCATTAATTTGACCTGGGGTACCTCGATATAAGCCTAACATGTATAAATACACTGTGGCTGCCTGTCCCCAACACAATTAATTGTTATTTAGATGACTTGGAAGTTGCAGAATGCATCTTGTTCACGTATCATTGATGCTCTTAATATGCTGACTTACATCTATCCTAATAATACTGCATATAAAAAAGTATAGCTTTAGTAATTATACTTTGCTATCATCAAATATTATCTGGAATATATAGCAAAAACTATTAGAAATTGCATAATAGGTATTTCTGGTGCCATTTACATGACAAAAGGTATACAGTAATATCAGAGGATCCAAGAATTCCTGGTTATTCTCATGACTATGGTCTTGTGTAAGTGAATGACAACTTTACTGACTCTTCCACTAAAGGTATCCTACCCCACTTTGCATACACTTGCACAAATTATGCATCTTCAGTTCATTTACATAAGCAAAACATTACAAATACAGTTTAACCATATCACAGTTGCCCTATCACGTTTATCTACATGCAATGTTTGAAATGTTTTGTTTGTAAAATAAATGAAAGGCTCAAATTTATGCTCCTCTGAAAAATGTTTGTTTTTAACCTTTCAACGTATTTGAGATGCCTACAGTTGTCATTGGTCAAAATGGTAGAACGTTCCGATGTTGGCTAACTTTAACTCGCCCTTTGTTACTGTATTTTGCTTTTATTCCATTTTTGAAAATACCATCGTAAAGCAGGCGATGAGTCACAATAACATGGCTACAGTAATTTGACCAGACCACACACTAGAAGGTGAAGGGACGACGACGTTTCGGTCCGTCCTGGACCATTCTCAAGTCGATAGAATGGTCCAGGACGGACCGAAACGTGGTCGTCCCTTCACCTTCTAGTGTGTGGTCTGGTCAAATTACCATCATAAAGTATAACTCTTTAACTTAAAAAACAAATACCACACTGAACACTTTACCATGCATAGTAACTTCCCAGTATGCATTGGAGGCCAAATATTGCTAAGGTATTTGTGCATGGGCCAAGATGCTGGCAGCACACAAAATTGTTAAGGGGGCAAAAACAGCAAAGGGTTAATTAACCCTTAGACTAACCTTATTATTTTTCATAGTATAATTGGCAAGTGGGGTAAATACTTTGTGGTTGATATTAGACATTGTCTTTATCATGGGATGCTGACATTTTCATCCAAATAATCAGACAAAAATAATAATGCAAATTATGAATAATTTGCAGACTATATTACGAGTATTTCTCTGATACAGTACTTGCAAAATAGGAACCTTTACTTATCGTATTGTAAAAGTAATGAAGAATTCAACCCAAAATGGCGTGTCCCTGTCCTTGAAGCTGAAGTGAAGCTTGAAGTGAAAATAGTTAAATCTCAGGTACAGAAAATACAAAAATTCACACAACTAGGTCAATAACAAATTAATGATGTGCAAGGCCTGGGAAAAGAAGACATATTCTACCAATCAGGGATGGTGGAGAAGTTCATATAAAAAAAAAATCAAATTAGTGGCTTAGTGGTTAGCAAACAACACTGGGATATTTAAGAGCAAGAGGTCATAGATATAAACTAGCTAAACACAGATGCCAAAGAAATATAAGAAAATTCACTTTCGCAAACAGAGTGGTAGACGGTTGGAACAAGTTAGGGGAGAAGGTGGTGGAGGCCAAGACTGTCAGTAGTTTCAAAGCGTTATATGACAAAGAGTGCTGGGAAGACGGGACACCACGAGCATAGCTCTCATCCTGTAACTTCACTTAGGTAATTACTTAGGTAATTACTGGAACAAATTTTGAATCAAGTGAATATGCTAGATATTAATTACAAATGTTTATTTTGGTACAAACTTTCTTTTTGATTGGCACTCAACCTAGAGCTGTGTTGTCATTAAGAAACAATTGCACAGTTGACAAGATGAAATTTGTTAATCTGAAACTTCAAAAACAAGAGGCCATAGATTCAAGCTAAGAAAATAGAAGTGCCAAAAAAATATACAAAATTTCACTTTTGCAAACAGTTGTAGGCGGTTGAACAAGTCAAGTGAGAAGGTGGTGGATGCCAAAAGCAATCAGTAATTTCAAAGCATAATATGATAAAGATTACCGAGAAGAAGGGGTTCACCAAGCATAGCTCTCATCCTGTAACTACACTTAGGTAATTAATTAGGTAATTATTACACACAAACACATCCACACACCAAATGCATTGCACTAGAAAACTGTCACAAGTGGAGTACCAAAGGGTTCAGTTCTTGCACCAGTAATGTTCATTGTCTACATAAACAACCTACCAGACAGAATACAGAATTATATGAACATTCTTGCTGATGATAGATATTAGGGAAGATGACTGTCATCCCCCTTCAAGAATATGTGGACAAAATAAGGGTATGGAACACCACTTGGCAAATGGAATTTAATGAGAATAAATGCCATGTTATGGAATGTGGAATACCTATAGGAGAAAATAGACCATACATAACCTACAAATTATTTGAAAGAGCTTTACAAAAAAATCTGATAAAGAAAGAGATCTAGGGGGTGGTCCTAGAAACTGTTCATGACCTTTAAGAGACAAAAGTTGACATATGCAGCAGTTGTATGGTGCTTATGTCTTCAGAAGCACATCAACAAATTAGAAAAGGTGCAAAGACATGCAACTAAATGGCTTCCAGAACTAAAATAAAACAGCTACAAGGAGAGGATAGAAGCCAAAAGAATTGACAGGGAAGAATGTCCTTGTCAGGGTATCTGACAGGGTCCAGGTCTCAGAATTCCTGAAACCTGGAACTTCAAAAACAAGAGGTCATAGATTTAAGCTAATTAAATAAAGCTGCCAAAGAAATATGAGAAAATTCACTTTTGCAAATAGAGTGGTAGATGGTAGAAATAAGTTAAGTGAGAAGGTGGCGGAGGCCAAAACCGTCAGTAGTTTCAAAGAGTTATATGATAGAGTGCTGGGAAAATGGGCCACCATGAGTGTAGCTCTCATCCTGTAACTACACTTAGGTAATTACACCAGCTATGAAGAAAGGCTAACAGGAACACACAGGTGACAATCTCATACAAAATAGTAACAGAAATCAGTAAAATTTTAAGGAGGTTTTGTATCGGCTATATAAAAAACAAAGTCATAGTCAAGCTAAAAGTGCCAGAATAAACATTCAAAAATTCACTTTTGATAAGTGGCAGACATATTAAATAAATTCAATAAGAGGCAAATACTATATATAACCAAAACTACTGGAAGCTTCAAAATGTCATACGACGAAGATTATTGGGAAGACAAGACACCACCGGCGTAGCACTCATCCTGCAGCTAATCTTAGTTAATAGCACACAAATACATACATACAAACATACATACATACATACATACACACACACACACATTAGGTAATTATGCACACACACAAATATATGCCATTAAAACTTTTGGATAAAATCAGTAAGTAGTCATTGCAGAGCATACAGAATCCAAAGAATATTTGTTTTCCAAAATTATTGTAAATTATGCGTGGAAATGATGAGTAGATTGAACAGACAAGATTAGCCTGACGTCACTTAACACATAAGAGCTACAGCTGCCATTGTCAGGGTGCCACACAGGAGGCAGAGAAGTTGCGCACATGACTGAGCAGGACGCTCCTCCTGCAGCAGTTCAGGCAGAACGCTCACTAAGGCTATGTTGAGGAAGCCACCCGCTGTGAACGACAAAATGTACACCTGTGCCCCACCTGCAAAACACATAATTTCCAGATTATGTGATTATTTCCACATAATCACTACAGTATTGTATAATTATACAGTATGTTATATTTATAAACATGCATCCCATCAATATGGAATGATAATTACTGTACAGAGTACAGTATATTATAGTATATTATATACAGTATATAGAAAGAATGTATGTACTGTGTATACATTTGAACCAATGTATTGTTCAAAATTAAATTCTTAATAATAAAGACAAGGGAAGACTCATCCCTTCAGCTAACTACTGGCCAAACCTGACAGACAGGCATATATCCATAGCTACACTTCCCTAAGCCTTCCTGATCATGAAGATAAATGAAATTAGATGATACACTGCCGAGGATGGACTCACCTAAAACATCGGAGGTGCCGATGCAAAGTGTACACAAAGCCCCCATTAAACCAATGCCAGCAGTATAGATCTGAGCCTTGGTGGCCTCCCACCGAGTAAACCCTGCAGTAGACAAAATGTTTAACAGTATAAATATAACAAACCTAGATATTAAGGCATGTTAACAATTCCAGAAGCACGTACCAGTTACTGCACGAGTGGCAAATTATAAAATGTAAAGGTATATATATAAATCCAGCGGTAAATGTGATGAAATTTCTGGTGGATCGCTCCGTAGCTCTCCAATGCTACAACCTGGAAGCGCCAAAGCTTTGGGAACACACCTGGACTCTTGTGACCCTCAAGCACCTACAGGGACAAGTTGATCTGCTTAAAGAAGGAAAGGGAAAACTGAGGATCCAAAATCACCCTAAAATGCTCCCAAAACAAGCAACTGCTTACTGAGATTTGCAACCCTAAATAAAAGTAATGCAAATGATTGATATTTTGGCAATATCACTGCCTAGATATACTTGCCCACCTCGAGATGGTAGCCCAGGTGACTCCTCCCCCCTTCCCCCCTCCCAGCCAGCCCATTCTTGAGCTGCCCAGACCCATTCCCTCCCCCATCTCCATGGGTAAAGAAAGCAGTGGGCAGGGAGGTTGTGTTACTAAGCAGCCAATTTGAAAGAAGAACTTAATTATTACACTCAGCCATGGATTTCAGAAAATGACCACCTCCTATGTTGCATACCTGTAGATGACTCCGAGGATTAACATCCCTATGGCAATAGAGCCACCAAGTTGCTGTAAGACAACATCCTATAGCCACTCACTGAAGTGAGGTGTAAGAGGGTGTGTGACCCAAGCACACCACCGGCCATCAGATAACATTGCTCAAGAGTCAATCCTTAACTGTAGCCTCTGTTCACCCAGCATTGAATGGGTACCTGCTTGTTAAATGATTTAGTGGGTTGTATTCTGGGAAAAAATTAAGATCAAGGAACTGCCCAAAATGCTCCTCCCTATCAACAGGCCATGCAGAGGGGAGTGAACTGTCATAACTGGGCACATGCAAGTTGGGTTACAGAACACATGTTAAGCAGAAAAGAAACAAAACTAAGTACTGTAACCCTGTAATGACCCCACTAATTGCTACTAATCTGAAAGTCAAAAGGTGACAGAGCCCAGCAGAGCCGAGTGAACAAAGTGCCACTTGGCAAGTGATCTAGCTGGCTGGCTGGCCAATAATCGAAGACTCTGGAATTCCTGGCTGCCACCTAGTGGCAAGTCAGTCAGTCTAGGTAATGATTTAGCCACATTAATTTGTATCCCTGTTTTCATCAGGGATACAAATCTCACCAAGCACTTGCATGTTTTGGACCATTTTTCTTTCTGGTGGGCATTTTTCTTGGTTCTGTGGTGATTTCTAATCCCCAAGGCTTCTCTTTGCCTTTTTTAATTGGGTAGGTGCCCATAAGTCAGTACAGGTCAGTACAGGAAGCAACCAAGGTTTGGTTGCTTCTGGGTTGTAGCACTGCAAAGCTACTGAGGCCCCTTCAGTAGCTAAAAAGAAGTAAAGTATTATACAAGTGGCAAGTGTTAAAATTATTATTTAAAAATAAAGCAAGCAAGTCAGTTATATTTTAATATTCATATTAAGACTGGTGGGAGTTTATTTACCAAATACTGTACGAGCTCACTTATCCAGATTCCGTTAAACCGGATATTTGGGTTATCTGGCCAAAACCACATCTGAATAATTTTCTGGCAAACTTCACAATATCCTGATGGTAATCTGGATAACCAGAAGTTTGGCCTGATACCACAGGCTTAAAGTTTAAATCAAGTTCAGATAAGTTTCTGGAAAAACTTCACCATATCTGGACAGAAATCCAGATAACCAGAGAATAACACTTTCATACCCCATGGACGACTGTGACATCCACAATTAACTCTGTGGATGTGCGAAATGGACGGCCGCGAAGTCCAAAATTAAAATATTTTTTAGTACTCTATTTGTTCTCCAATCATTATGGGACTAATTTTAAAATGTGTGCCTTTAGATTGTGAACCATTTCAGACCAGAATGAACGACATAGCAAGAACATTAAGGTAAGAAAACTGAACAGAGTATACACATTTTATTGTAGGTGGGCAGATTGGCGCTCGCTCCTGGGTAACTCTCGGCGGACTTTCTGGTTTGCTGCAAGTAGCGTGCCTGTTTATTTTTATCTTATATACATATATTCCTTTAGAAAATTCTATTGTGAACAAACTGATACCAAAATGAACGATGTAACATGAAAATTGATAGGTAACGCTCACGGATAAAGCGCAGCCGATTTTCGGGTTTGCTGAGGGCGGCACGCCGTTTTTTTTTTTTTTACCTTATATGCATATATCCCTTTAGAGAATTCTATTGCGAACAATTTGATACCAAAATAAACGATGTAACACAAAAATTGACATGAGAAAACTGAAAGAGTATACACATTTTAGTGGTTGTGCACTCATGAGTAACGTTCAGTTGATTTTCGGGTTTGTTGTGGGTGGCACACTGGGCTTTTTGACCTTTTATGCCTATATCCCTTTAGAGAAGTCTATTGCGAACATTTTGATACCAAAATGAATGATGTAACACGAAAACTGACGAGAGAAAACACATTTTAGTGCGGGTGTTGTGGGTGTGTGGATGGGTGCTCGCTCACGGGAAATGCTTGGTCGATTTTCGGGATTTCTGTGGGTGACACGCCAGCCGTTTTGACTTTATATCCATATAAGTCTGTAGGGAATTCTATTGCGAACACCATGATATCAAAATGAATGACGTAAAATGAAAACTGAGGTGAGAAAACTGAAGAGAGTATACACATTTGAATGCTCTTGCGCGCTCACGGGTAACGCTTGGCCGATTTTTGGGTTTGCTGCAGGTCGTATGCCGGGCTTTTGGACTTTATATGCATATAACCCCGTAAAAAATTCTATTGCGAACACATTGATACAAAAATGAACGACGTTACATGAAAAATTTAGGTGAGAAAACTGAAAAAGAGTACACACTTTCGTCTGGCCGCACTGACGCAAAATGCCCGATCTCTCTTGAGGTAGGCTGGGACGCGCGCACCGTATGTCTGGGTTATCTGGTGAGGGGTCCTTCTGATATAGTTCGGATAAGTGAGCTTAAGACAGTATATTGTACCAACCGAGTCACACCAGTATTTGATAAATAACTTGTTTTGACGCAAGCGATACATACCTGATTTAAGTAGAATTGCAAAATCTCCCACTTCATGTGGAATTTCATGTATGAGGATTGCACCAGTGGTAAGTAGACCAGTTTTATAAGACACCATAAAGGATCCTGCTACTGCCAGCCCATGGGTGAAGTTATCAATCCCATTGGCTATTAGATTCAGATAACCAGTCACCTATGAGAAAAAGTATTTTCTATATTTAAAAATGCTGAACAGGGGGACCCCCTGTTTTATATTGGTTCTTGGGAGGTATTAAGGGTATTGATTCCTCTTTGTCTAATTGTAAGGTTGTTACTCGATGGAGGATTGAGTTAAACTTATCAGTGACTCATTTGAAATGTTTTTTTGTTATGGTGGGGGTACACAGTTGACAAGAGCCTGGCAAGTTATTTGAACCCAGGATGGACCCAATAGTCTCTGGCCTTGAAAACATCCAAGAGGCCTTAGGTCAGAAGAATTCACTCCAAAACTGCCACAAAGGTGCTACTTGTACAACATACTATGACCTTTCAAGTGCATTATATGATCGAACTCAATGCAAATAAATCGATTGCAAACAGCGATAAGGAAAAAAGGAAATATTATAAAGTATTCATCATATTGGGCAACTAATTAATAACATACCTCCTTCCTTGTAGGTTGTGGGGTGCCCTTCATGGTGGTGCTGGTAGGGCCACCAGAGCCATGTGAAGCCATCATCTCCACAATGATGAACACGAAGATTCCCGCCAGGACACACAAACCCACCTGAGTGAATGCTTCATGGGTACCTGCACCACCTGTGTAAGTAGAAAAATTCCTTCTAATTGAAAGAAAAAACTTAACTTTATGAAATTAATTAGTACTCTACACATTTTAATGCATTGCATCTCACAAATAACAATTTTGGATTAATGCAATGTAGCCTAACTAGAACAGGTTGAAATACAAAAAATTAGCCTTGGAGGGCCATAGAGAATTGCCAACTGAATAAATCTTCATTATAAAGAACAGGTTATTCCGCTAAAAAAAAAACCTGATTTATATTGGTTCTTGGGGGGAATGTTAAGGTTATTGATTCCTCTTTTTGTCTTATTGTCAGGTTGTTACTCGATGGTGGATTGAGTTAAGACTTATCAGTGACTCATTTGACCAGGTTATTTTAATTTGATTCCACAGTTACCAGCCATGACATTCCTGCTTACATTCTGCTCCACTCATATGTTGTTATGGGATGGTGGGGAGAATACTGGGAGAAAAAATGGTGGGGGGGGGGGGACATGCCATATCCCAAGGCTCCCTCAATCCATGAAGCCAATTCTGGACAGGCCATATCCACATTTCATATTAAATACTGTACAATTAAATATTCTGATGCCTTCAGTAGTAATAAGTAATAAAATATTTTATCAATTTAAAAAATTATGTACTGTAATACTTGTACTCTTACTATAAATTAAACTTTTTTTTAGAGGAGATAGCGGGAAGGGGATTAGTCCTACTGCAACACGACACATCTTGATTTGTGCTTTTTCCCTCAGTGCTTGTGAGATTAAAACTCTAGTTACCTAAGGATTTTCATCCATTTTCTTTTAATATTTAAGTGTTTGGTAGTGCATATTATGTCTACCAGCAGAAGTAGACAGGTTTAAGCCTACAGTCTACAGACAATCGACTTGAGAATGGTCCAGGATGGACCGAAACGTCGTCGTCCCTTCACCTTCTAGTGTGTGGTCTGGTCAACATTCTTCAGCCACGTTATTGTGACTCATCACCTGCATAGACAGGTTTAAATGAACAAATCCACTAGGATCATCCCGGGCGTAAGTTCGAACCCTTGTCATGGCCCTTTATGGATTTGTTCATTTGATATATCATACTATATTGTGATTTCTGTGTGTAAGACAGGTTTAACCAGGTGGGTAACAAGGAGGTATCTGAACACCAAAGAAAAGGTTACATTAATAAACAATAAAGAGGGCTGGGAAGTGAGGATGCTGGCACAGAAGTTTGAAGTACTGCACTGTACTGTAGCACTAGTACTGCTTTGTATATAGGAAATATAGAACTCAAGAGATTTTGACATTCAGTGCTAGAAGAGAAAGCATTGGAGCAGAGGTCTGTGGGAAAAATATTCAAGAGAATAAACATTAGAAGTTAGATAAGGCTATTTATAAGTTCATTATGTCGTTCTGGAGTGCCTGTCAATGGCAAGTAGTAAGTAATATTGACTCTTTTCAAAGGTATTTTAGTCAAGCAATGCAAGTCCAGAGCCTCTTCTGCAGCAATTGATATATTGTTCTATCCGAGATTTGCTATTTTTAGCTATACTGTATAAATCCAAACCTCTTTTTGGTTTTAAAGTCTAAATGATATACTGTATGAGACTCTTTCCTTAACAGCTGTCTTTCAGGTACATCAAATTCCAATCAAGTGGGCTTTCACTGTACTATATTCCATCTTATGAATGAAACATGTACAGTATAGTACATTGAGTAGGCAATAAGAGTCGGGGGGTGAAATACCTTCGAGGGCCATGCTCCAGGCCTCAGGTAGCAGATGAAGGAACACATCACCCAACAGACCACCCACAGCAAAACTCAGCAGCAATTGCAACAAGTTCCGTCCTCCTGAAACACAACAGACAACCAGTAAGTTAAACTGTAAATATGCAAGACAAATAGATGAAACTAATTAAAATGTAAGAATATTTTGTTTATCAGCACTTGCAGATAATTAAAATATCCCCTACAATATAAAGTACAGTACAGCATGGGGCCCACCCGTGCTATACCCTGATAACTTGAGTTATCCCAACATTCAAGTCAGCTGGCTTATTTACTGGTAATGTCCAAAAATTGACAAATTCAAATGTATTTAAGTTTCTCAATTGCTTCTTACTGGAGGGTAAGTCCCACAAGAGCCGATTATCCCACAGTTCCAGCTCGAGTCATTAACTTCCTTCGTGATCATTGACAGGTAATTATCAAGAGATGTTAATTATTCAAAAGTAATTAACTTTAGTGACAAGCGGTAAGTTTTCCTAGTATTACAAGTGGTGACAGCAGTAGCTGTTACTGCATTCAACCCGGTCAATAATTACAATTATTACTTAACCTATTACAGGTATAGGTTAAGTAATAATTGTAATTACGAAGCAATAAGATGCTTATCTTAACATACTAAGAAGGTTAGGTAAGGTCGGTGTTTTCTATGAAGCTTTTCAAGGTAAACTAAAATATTCACAATAAATTAGTATGTCACATATGCACTTATTAAATAAGTCAATATTGACTGTAAGAAAGTGCGAGAACGGGTTGCAGCATTATATCTGGTAGCAGCGAGGGGGTTGTAGTGTTATACTGCAGTTTTCTCCCTTTTCATTCGTCTTCAAACTGTGAAGACGAATGAAGTAAACAAATTAATGAATGAACAAATTAAGTAAATCTAAGCACCGAGTTTTGCTCGAAAGTGACCTTAAGCAGTAACAAGAATTATGTCAGGTCTTTATCTGGTACAAGTCATCGAAAATATGGCCGCAATCAGGCTTAAGGTCCACATGAACTTGTACTTTCTCCTCAATGGTTTGCGGGTACAAATTGTCAAATAGGCCGCCTGAGGGGGTACCCAGGGTAAACTATTCAAGACAAGACCATCAAGGCTGGGGAAAGGTACCTCTTAAAGTGGCGAGAAGAGCTTCAACTACCTCATTCTTTCGTGTGTATTTATATCTCAACCATCGTACTTCTTCGGTACGCCCTCCATTACACACCCCTCCCTCATGTCGCTCCTCTCCCCCCCTCGCCAAAGTAGCCATGACAGACGGCTGGTGATTCCACAGTTGCCAGTTATGACATTCCTGCTTACATTCTTCTCCACTCAAATGTTGTTATGGGAGGGGGAGGAGGCTAAGAGAATACTGGGAGAAAGGATGGTGGGTGGGAGGCCATACTGTTGGGGAGAAAATAAAAATGGTAGGGGATATGGTAGCAGAACTGAAAAGCAGTTTTTCAATTCCGGAAGCCATTTGTAGCACGTCTGGGCCTAACCAGAGCAAGATATAGCTGAAGAACAACTCCAGGTGTCTTGTTACTAACGCTTCGATTAATAAATCCCAGTGTCCTATTTGCCTTATTACGAACATTCATGCATTGATCCATTGGTTTTAAATTCTTACTAATCATAACTCCCAGATCCCTTTTGCAATCCGACTTCGCAATCTCAACACCATCTAGCTCGTATCTTGTAACTCTATCATCATTACCTAGCCTCAAAACTTTACATTTATCAGCATTAAGCTGCATCTGCCAATCTTTTGACCATTTCAAAACCCTATTTAGATCAACTTGAAGTGATAGTGAGTCTTCTTCCGTGTTAATTTCCCTAACGATTTTTTTATCATCGGCAAATTTGTAAATGTTGCTACTCTAACCCGAATCTAAATCATTTATATATATTATAAACAACAGAGGTCCCAGGACAGAGCCTTGAGGCACTCCACTTAAACATTTTCCCAGTCTGACTTAACCCATTTATACTAACTCTGTTTCCTTTGGTATAGCCATGCCCTAATCCAACTTAATATAGCACCCCCAATACCATGAGCCTCTATCTTTTTAATCAGTCTTTCATGTGGCACTGTATCAAAAGCTTTGCTAAAGTCAAGGTCCACAACATCACAATCCTTACCACTACCAACTGCCTCAACCTTTATGTGCTCCTCTGGTGACAGCTTATTATTCAAACCACCCCTAGGTCTCGTTCCTTATTAGTTCTTAAATTCCTTTCCACTTAATGTTTAAGTTGTGTGTGACCTAGTTTCTCCGATCCACATTCCATTACATGACATTTATTCACATTAAATTCCATTTGTCACTTTACGTTCCAAATACTTATTTTATCTAGATCCTTTTGAGAGGCATTACAATAGTCCCCGTCTCCTATCTTCCCGAATATCTTAGCATCATCCACAAACATGTTCATATAATCCTGTATTCCTTCTGGTAGATCATTTATGTAGACCATCATGACCATGTAGATCAAGGTAAGGTAGACGATGAACATTACTGGTGCAAGAACTGAACCCTGTGGTACTCTGCTAGTAACACTCCTCCAGTCAGATACATTGCCTCTGATTACCGCCCTCATCTGCTTGTCAGTTTGAAAGTTTTTCATCCACGTCAGAAGTCTCCGTCATCCACACAGAAGGTTCCAGTTTCCAAAACAACCGCTTGTGTGGGACTGTCAAAAGCCCTTTTTTTTTAGGTCCAGATAGACACAGTCAACCCAACCATCCATTTCTTGTCGAATCTCTGTGGCTCTATCATTGAAACCAAGTAGACTTGTTACACAGGACTTTTCTGTTCGAAAACCATACTATCTGTAATTATATAATTGCTTCCCCGGTGTTCTACACATTTTGTGTGCGCATTGACCTAGTTGTGCTTGCAGGGGTTGAGCTCCGCTCTTTCGGCCCGCCTCTCAACTGTCAATCAACTGTTACTATTTTTTCCACACACACACACACACACACACACACACACACACACACACACACACACACACACACACACACACACACACACACACACACACACACACACACAGGAATCAGCCCGTAACAGCTGTCTAACTCCCATGTACCTATTTACTGCTAGGTAACAGGGGCATCAGGGTGAAAGAAACTGCCTAGTGTTTCTCGCCGGGAATCGAACACCGGATCACAGGATTATGTGTCCAGCATGCTGTCCATTGAGCCACCAGCGCCCTGGTGTGCGCGTATAAGAGGAAGCAAGCAGCTGCACCTAGTGACTGACTCAGCGGTATACTCTGCCAATGTGAGTGCTTGTGGGGAGGTATCCCCCAATCCTACTCCTCACCTTGATCACCAGTAATACCTCGGATTAAAGCTGGAATCTGCTGCTGCTGCTGCCACCAGCTGGGTTAGACAGTCAGGTGTGTATGTTGAGTGTGAAGGCGGCTCTCCAATCTTCAAGTTACCCACGAGGAGAAGCCAGGAGAGCGGAAAGACCACGGAGTAGGATGTGTTGTTTATACACGGCGTGCATCCGCAGGCCCTCGACTCTCACATGGGCAAGGGGCACAACACGACCCCTGCCCCTCACACGACCCCCCTGCCCCTCACACGACACCCCTGCCCCTCACACGACTCCTGCCCGCACACGACCTCCTGCCCGCACACAACCCCTGCCCCTCACACGACCCCTGCCCCTCACACGACACCCCTGCCCCTCACACGACACCCCTGCCCCTCACACGACCCCCTGCCCCTCACACGACCCCTGCCCCTCACACGACCCCTGCCCCTCACACACGACCCCTGCCCCTCACACACGACCCCTGCCCCTCACACACGACCCCTGCCCCTCACACACGACCCCTGCCCCTCACACACGACCCCTGCCCCTCACACGACCCCTGCCCCTCACACACACATAATCTTAGTTAAAAAGTGGTATTTAGAGGACGACGACTGTAACGGTTATGTTTTTTATGTACATATATTAGGCAGGCGGGCTGTCGGTCGGTCGGTCGGTGTACAGTGTGAGCTATGATAGCAAAGATAGCAAACGGGTGTGTGTAATGATTACTGGAGACGGTCATAAAGGTACCATGCGTGGGAGGAAGACTTCTGCTGACACACAAAAGGCCGTGGCGGAGGCCCAGACTGGGTCGGAGAGTGCCCAACAGCTTAGTATCTTAGTACGCAGCCAGCCACCCAGGTGGTCAGTGCAAGCACAGGTCGCTGCCAGCCTCCCTCTCAATTGCTCACTCCCGCAATACCCTTGTCAGGCGTCAGGTGTGTGTGGTGGTGTCTGGTGTGGCGTCAGGTGTCTGGCCTGAACACCAGTGTATCGTCACCTTTCCTTCACACACACACACACCTGCTAAGGCACCCTACACACACCTGTCACTGGTGTGTAAAGACAGGTGGTGTGAGGCAGCCCGGGGCACCCTGCTGACCACGTGGTTATGGACACAAGTGAAGACTTGCCGCCGGGAGTCAGTATGCTGGTAGTGAACGCTACACCGGCGCCTCGCAGATGACTCAACCCTCACAACTCTACATTTAAATACTGCAGAAAAAAAGCAGGAAAAGCAGTGGCAGGACGGAGGGGTTACCGCTGAGTGTGGAGAAGTGCTGTTAGCGGGAGCAAGAGACCCACAGCGCCTGGTATAAGCAGAAATCGCAGAAACAAGAACGAATATTAGCACCAACATCAGAAAAGCACCATTATAACACCACTGGTAGAGTGGTAGTGCCAGCCCCAACACCACAAGCAGCACCACAAGCAACAATCATGGTGAAGGCAGTGTACCGCGGACAAGGAGTAAGTACACACGCTTCTTACTCTTCTCTTGTTTCTTGTCTCCCACAGAATGTCTCTCTCTCGAGTTCCGAAATGAGTGTGTTTTCAAGTGCCTTTACTTTCGAAAACGTCTCTCTCAAAAAGGTTTCTAAATACAACTGTTCTTGTGGGTATTTTGTCAGCCCGTCCTCCAAATAAAGACCCAAAGAGTGATTCCATCCACCCGCCAAACCCCAACTGTTTGTGAATGAAAAACGATTTACACACAACTCTCAATTGATTTCGTTCGAACACTTCCGGAACAAGTGCTTCACTGACGAATTTTGTTCGAACTACAACGCTATAAATGCTTCATCCACGTACTACAAATACATATAATCGCCAACAAAACCTAAACACCTAACCTAACCTATGCCTATATATGCACAATATGGTAATATTATATTAATTTATATATGAGAACATTACTGTTTTGAATGAACAGCATGTAAAAATTTATGAATGCGTCTGTGGGGTCGACCGCTGGATGGAATGGACGTGAGTCGAGGACGGGTTGGGAACAAAGGGACATGAAGCTTCGAGACGTGTGGCGAAGCATGACGCTGCGACTGGGTATCCAATGGGCGCTGCCGACCCCACTTGACCTGGGCGAGGTCAGCTGTTATCATCGGCTGGAATAGGGAGTTGTTCACTGCCCCGACGTCTGAGTGGAGTTGTTGCTGCCGCCAGCTCATAAGATGGACGTGTGGTGTGGGGGGCCCACTCTGACGGCCTGTAGGTTCCCAAGGAAGAGCAGACTGTTGTATGTGAGGCCTATGACCGAAGTTCGCAGGTTCCTTTAAGAAAAATCGATCCAGAGAAGGGACTTAATGGTGTTGGTGTCCAAGATGGTGGATGCTATATGTTGACAGCTGTACCCAACCGTTTGACTCTAGCGTACGAGAAGATAGTCCTGCTATGACCGGAAGGAGAACAGTTTGAAATGTAGATATAAGAGCCCAATAGGCTCGGGAACCTGTACACCATTTGAGAGGCGGGACCAAAAAGCCAAAGCTCGACCCCGGCAAGCACAACTAGGTGAGGACATAAGACACAGCATACCAAGACAGCATACCCCGCGTGAGAGCCACGAACGCCAGACCATGGGAGTGAGGAGAGACTAGTGTGACATCCCAGGTGTGGCAGTAATGTGGATGGTATCTAGTAAGAGGGCCACACCTCACTACCCCTGGCTCTACCCCACTACCGTCTGGGCATACCTCTGGGTCTACCTCAGTACCGTCTGGGCATACCTCTGGGTCTACCTCAGTACCGTCTGGGCATACCTCTGGGTCTACCTCAGTACCGTCTGGGCATACCTGGGTCTACCTCACTACCTCTGGGTATACCTCTGGGTCTACCTCACTACCGTCTGGGCATACCTCTGAGTCTACCTCACTACCGTCTGGGTATACCTCTGGGTCTACCTCACTACTCTTCATCCTCATGTCTAGACGGCATGAGGGAAGGCAGATACTGATGACATGTTATGTACACAACTGCCCAATTCACGCTCTGATATACACCACTCGCAATTTGGTTCCTTTCCCGGTCTGGGTTAACTTGTGGGTTAACGGTAGCCACGTGGCCACAGGTGAAGAATCTTAAAACCCTCATCTCTTTACGTGGAACTTCTGGTAACAAGAACTTTGTCAAACCCTGCAGCATTATATTATCAATATCCTGCCATGAGAAGCTTTATACCTGTTGGTATGAAGTACTCAAAGCTTTGCAATAAGCAGATAGATGCCTTCAAGTGATCTGAAGAATAACCCCACAACCCCTCCATGCTAAACTATTGGGCGAGATGGTGACCGGGGTCTCGCACAACCATCTCTCCACTTACGGTAAACACAGATCTCCTTCACGACGATTAGTCAAATGCCCCATGTACCTCCTGTAAACAAGTCAAAAATACCAAATGAGGTTACTGTGATGGCCAGTTGAGGTCAGCCTGTCACAACAGCGTCAAATGTCAGTTGAGTTGTGTTTTCCGCCCAGAGTACATAGGCTGAGTTACGTTTTCCTCGGAGCAGGGAACCACACTACACACCGTTTTCTCAAATCAACAGAATATTACAAATATTTAGGAGATCTTCCAACCGAGAGGCAAAATACTATTCGTAAAGTTGTATCCAATATCTATATTTCACTCAACCACACGTTGAAGCCCGTTCACCACCTTGGAGGTCCGCCCACCACCCACCCCCACTAGCAGCCCCCCCCTCCCCCCCCACAAGCGCTACAAATCACCAAGAGCCAAAGGAGAACAATAGACAGAAGTGGCTTCACGTATTTGCCTGTCAGTCGCCACTGTCTCTCTAAATAAAGTCTCTCTCTCTCTCTCTCGCCCTAGGCAGCAAGCCAAGACATTAATTAACGGGGAGCGGGGGAGAGAGAGAATTAATTAATGTGAGAAAGTTATATTGTTGAGAACACGCAGACACCCATATAGATAATTATTAACATCTTTATTGACAAAAATTAATTACAATTTTGCCTAATCTGAGGATTTGAATTAGGACTTATTAGAGTGAGGATAATGCTGGTATTCACTGTCACACAGGACAGAGGGTCATACACCAGACAATAGGTCTAAACTGTAGGCTGAAGCACATATATATCATGATAACAATCAACTACATTAGACTGTATACACGTTTCAATGTACGAATACGTGAATACAACTTTTTCTATTGTGCACTGCCACAGTATGGGGAGGGGGGACGGGGGGGGGGCGGGACACTCACCAGCACATCATGTCTGACAACAGTGGTGTGGGAGTGTTTACCGCCGTATAACTTCTCAATGGTTCGGTGTTTAACACATCTCTAACCCTGTCCATGGAGGATACAAGAAAATGTATATATGCTGGTTAGCATTGTAAATGTGTGGCCACGTTTGTGGCAGAAAATAATAATAAAAAAAAAAGGTTCAGTGTCCACCATAAAAGACAACAGGCGAGATAACCACACGTACCATTCTCCCCCACATCTCCCACCATATTTGACTACAGTGCCAACATATACAATGTTATTAATCACACCACTAACACACTTCCCCTCCCCTCGGACGTAGGTTCGAACCCTCGTCACGGCCCTTGTGGATTTGTACGCTTCCCCTTCCCTTTCCATATTCCTCGCCCCCTTTCACTTTCCTAACCCGCACTCGTATCCCTCTCTTTGACCTCCCCGGCATAACCGTCAAGCCTACCGCTTCACGGATCAATATATACAACGTTTAAAGCAAATGCTGGGCATAATCAGGTACGCTAATCTGGTTAATCAGGTTAACTAACAAGTGAAACCGGCGAGAAACAATGGGCAGAGTTTCTTTCACCCTGTGCCCCTGTTACCTAGCAGTAAAATAGGTACCTAGGTGTTAGTCACTGTCACGGGCTGCTTCCTGGGGGTGGAGGCCTGGTCGAGGACCGGGCCGCGGGGACACTAAAAGCCCCGAAATTATCTCAAGATAACCTCAAGATAAGAGAAGATGCTGTCGGTAAAGATCAAACAATATGTACCAGGGCCAAGCAAACAACTATGAAATATTGGAGCTTCATACCAGTGACAGCGTCACTCCTCTCCAGAGATGTCTAAACACAAGCAAATCTAAAACTTTATGTAAAGAAAGCAGAAGGCAGAGGGAGCATAAGAAGCTCGCTTCTCTGCACACACCGACAGCCAAGTTCTTCAAGCGTCGGCCAGACACAGATGAACGAGTTTAGGTGGATACAACTGGGATCTGCCTCGTAGTGGCCAATAGGCACTCTGCACTCTCCTTAATTCTTATATTCTCATGTTAGATAAGCACCTGAGCAAACACTTGCTCTCAGCAGAGAGGAGGAGCTGATGGAGCATCTTGATGATGCTGGCAGTGGTGTGTGTGTCAGGGAGGGGGGGAGGGGGGGCGATCAGTGTTGCTCACGGGTTAAAATAATCAAAAGGAACCAATAACGTGGGGGCGAGGACGCGCCAAGGTTCAGTGGAGTGGACTCGCCCGGAGGAGTGGACCAGCCCTTACCTTGGAGTTACCTTGGAGTTTTTCAGGGGCTTAGCGTCCCCGCGGTCCGGTCGTCGACCAGGCCGTTGGACGCGGCTGCTAGCAGCCTGACGTATGAATCACAGCCTGGTTGATCAGGTATCCTTTGGAAGTGCTTATCCAGTTCTCTCTTGAACACTGTGAGGGGTCGCTACCACCACCACCGCCCTGGTGGTGGTGGTGGTCACTATACCTTGCACCATTCACTGTGCAGGTTATTGTGCACTCCTCTCTTATTGTGCACTCCTCTCTTATTGTGCACTCTTGTATGCTACTAGCCGGTACTATAATAAATTTGTATTTATATTATATATAAACATTTAATATATGATACAGAGAATTCATAGGCAAACAATGTACAATATATTCAGCAGTACGGTGTTATTGTCTAGTACTCTATGGTACTGTACAGCACTTGATGGTATTGCGCACTACTCTATGACACTGCACAGTATACTTTACCTAAGTATATAATGATGCATACTCTACCCAAGGCCAAAAATCGACGTACTAGAAAAGAAGAAACTGTCGTGCTAAAGTTCCCTTATCCTAACCTATCAGCCAACCCATAACAGAAAACGGGACACGGTCAATTTCGCAAGCCGCTACCATTTTTCTAGTACGACCATTTTTGGCCTTAGGTAAGAGTGTACGTCAAAATGCGACGCATTAGGAAGGTGATGAACTCTACATTTGATGTGGAGTTCATCACCTAATGCGACGCATTAGGAAGGTGATGAACCTAAGTCCCTTGCCTGGTCAAATGTAGAGTATACATCAGTGAAAATTAGAACATATTACTTAGGATTAGAAGTATGTTTTTACACCACACAGTAAGTAGTGAAGGACAAACACACGTACGTACGTACGTGTGTGTGTGTGTGTACTCACCTAATTGTGCTTGCGGGGGTTGAGCTTTGGCTCTTTGGTCCCGCCTCTCA